CTGTGGAGGTCATTCTCATTCAAACCAGCACAGCGCTTATACTCCATATTTGAACACTGAAATATTCCCCTCAGAAGCACAGGTGAAAGTATTATCACCACTTCCAAACTGTTGTGTAAGTTCCACCTTGCATAATAATTCAAGGAAGGAAAAAACAGACAACTGTCATCAGCTATGGATTATTCACACAGATAGAACTCTAAATTATGAACAAGAGCATCTAGCAAGATTGCTGTATGGGAGACTGTATTTCTGGGGATGGCTCAGCGGTTAAAAGCACTTGCTGCTCTTGCAGAGAACCCTGGTTCCATTCCCAGCACTCACATCCATCTGTAACTCTAGTTCTAGGGGATCCAGTGCCCTCTTCTGACCTCTGCAGGCACTGCATGCCCATAGTGCGGGCCAAACTAATACACATACAAAATAAAAATAGATGAGTCTTTTAAAAACTTTTATATCTATATCTTTAAATTTCAATTACTGGAGATAAACAAAAGGTATGAATAAAGAACTTATGAATGCTATTTTTAAAATATTTTTATTTATTATTTTATGTTATGTGTATGAGTATATTGCCTGTATGCATTTAAGCACATACATGTCACACAATACCCTTGGAGGTCAGATACCCTGGAACTGGAGTTAGGATAGTTGTTAGCTGCCATGTGGGTGCTGGAAACTGAACCTGGGTCCTCTGCAAGAGCAGTCAGTGATCTCAACCACTGAGCCATCTTTCCAGCCTCCATATAATGCTATTGAAAAATATGAGAAAACATGCTATCTTTGTGCCTAATTGGGTCATAATGGTAAGATTCAAGCCTTTTAAAGATGATCTATGAAGTTAATATAGTTTCAATAACAAGTTCAAATTTTATCTTATGGAATTTGATAAAATGATGGTAAAATTTGTATAAAAGAGCAAAAGACAGGGTTGTTTTTAAAATGTCAGAAAAAGTACTACTACTACTACTTACCAGTGATCTGTACACTTATGTACCAAACAATATGCATTTAGAGATCCATGGTAGTCTTGATTATAATAACAAAGACAAAAACAAAACAAAATATCATTAGAAAGAACCCACAGGTCTATTATCAACAACAGACCAGCTAAATACCACTATATTCCTTTAATGGAATACTACAAACAATAAAGAAAATCATTACTTATAAACAGCTTGGATAAATTTTAAATAAGGGGCTGGAGAGATGACTCAGTGGTTAAGAACACTGACTATTCTTGCAGAAGACCCAGGTTCAAATCCCAGCACCCATATGGCAGCTAACAACTGTCCGTAACTCCAGTTCCAGGGGATCCGACAGCCTCTTCTGTCCTCCATGGGCATTGAACGACACGGGTGCACTTAACCTACATGCAGGCAATACATGCATACACATAAAATAAAAATAATAATTTTTTTTTAAAGTTTAAAAGTGGAATTTTATTCCAGTTTGCTTGGAATTGCTGTGACAAAACTTTCTGACAAAACCAACTTGGGAAGGAAAGGATTTATTTGGCTTACAGCAGAGTCCATCATCAAGGGAGGCCAAGGCAGGAACTCAGGGCAAGAACCTGGAGTACAGACCATGGAAGAGTGCTGCTTACTGGCTCACTCCCCTGGTCCATGCTCAGTCTGCTTTCTTGTACACTATGGAACCACCTTCCCAGGGTGGCACTGTCCACAGTGAGCTGAGCCCTCCTACATCATTCAAAAATCAAGAAAATGCCCCACAGACACCACAGACCAATCCAATAGAGAAAATTCCTCAATTGAGGGTCCCTCTAACCAGGTGTGTCAAGCTACAACTAAAGCTATCCAGCACAATTGACCCCCTGTCAACTTGACACACAAACACACTGCTATTAAACCACAACCCTTTGATTCCTGTCCTCAAGATAGGATACTAATATTAGTACCACAACATAAAACAGCACAAATTTAAAAGTCTCACAGTCTTTAAAAAAATTCAAGCACTTTAAAAGTTCAAAGTTGCTTCTTAAATTGCTCTTTAACGGTTGGCTCCTGTAAAATCTAAAACAAGTACTGTCTTATTTCAAAAGAGAAGAATTTGATATACTTCAGCAAAACCGAAGTCCAGCAAAGTAGCTCAAGGTTAGACATCTTGGATTCACTCACAATCTTCTGATCTCCAAAGGGCTTGGGCAGCTCCACTTCTCTGGCTCTGCCATCCACAGCACACACCGCTCGCTTGTCTGGTAGCTAGCTCCACCCCAGACCTGCTGCTGCCATTAGTGACCATCAATGGTCCTGGCATCTCTAATATGCTGTGGTCTCACCAGTGGGCTGTTCTGGCCTCTCAGGGTTCAAAGTCTCAGGTTCTCTTCCTGACCCCTTCAATTCTGAGGTCTTCTCTGCAACTGAGGCTGTACTTTCACTAATGACCTTTCCTGGCCTCTTGGGTACCAAGCCTCAACTATTTTCTGTGACTTCTTCATGCCTTCAACACCAGTACCATGTAGGAGACTCTTAACACATCACCAAGTCCTGCTTAAAGTTTGAGATGGAGCTGCAGGCTCCCTCTGGACCACATCTTCTGTGTGCTGACCCCAAGGAAATACTTCCCAGAAGATTTTGCCACAGTGATGCTGGTCTCTTGTTACTCACAGCTGATTTTTCAGCCCCAACTGACCAGCATTGATTGTCACAGTAAAGCAAAAGTTTCACTTCAGTGGTTCTGGTCACTTTTTAATTACAGATGATTCTTCAGTCCCAGCTGACCAAAAACCATAGATTCTCAGTTCAAGATATCACACAAACATCTATCTACTTCCCTTTGAAGCTTCACGAGCCAGGCCTCCATTGTCTATACCTCTTTCAACATTATTTTCCAAGTTCCTACAGAAGAGCTCATTAAACACTAAGCACTCAATGGTTTTTCCAGTCCAAAGTTCACAAAACTTTTCCAATCCTCACCAAAACAACTAAGTCAGATCTGTCACAGCAATAGTCCACTCTCGATACCAATTTCTGTTCTAGTTTTCCCTCAATTACTGTTTAAAACATGATGAAGACCAACTTGAGAAGAAAGGGCTTATTTGGCTTTTAGATCACAATCTATCATCAAGGGATGCCAAGGCAGGAACCCAGGGCAGGAACCTGGAGCACAGACCGTGGAGAATAGCTGCTTATTGACTTGCTCCTCTGGCCTGTGCTCAGCCTGCTTTCTTATACAACATAGGACCAGGGGTGGTACTTCCCACAGTAGGATGGTCCCTCCCACATCACTCAACTATCAAGAAAATGCCCCACAGACATGGCCACATGCCAGTCCACTGGAGACAATTTCTCAGTGGAGGTTTCCTCTACCTGGTATGTCAAGTTGACAACTAAAGCTATCCAGCATTAATGTGTAGTGAAAAAAAGAGGATTGTGGATAAATACATGTAATTTCTTTCCATACAGAGTTTCTGAAAGATTATAAAGCTTTTATCATTTATTATTTATTATGTATTTATTTATTTGCTTTTTGTTTTGTTTTGTTTTTAGTCTTTTTGAGACAGGGTCTCCTTGTAGCACCAGCTGCCCTGGAACTCACTATGTAGACTAGGCTGGCTTTGAACTCACAGAGATCCGCCTGCCTCTGCCTCCCAAGTGCTGGGATTAAAGGCATGTGCCACCATGCCTGGCTGTTTTATTTTGCTTTTTGAGACAGGATCTCATTATGTAGCCCAGGCTGGCTTGGAACTCACTATGTTGGCTCAGAACTATCTGTAACTCCAGCCTGGTTTACTAGTGTGTTCCAGGCTGGCCTGGGACTCTCTATGTAGATCAGGCTGGCCTCAAACTCATAGAGATCCACCTGCTTCTGCCTCCCAAGTGCTGTGATTAAAGGTGTTCGCCACCACACCAGGCTAAAATTTATCTGTTATTTTATTCTGTTTTTCTAAGGTGGGTGATATGGATACTAAATGTTAGGTAGCTAGACAGTAACAGACCCTCTCCCTGGAAACAGTAAGTACATGAGAATTGGTTGATTACTTAAGAGAACTTGAATAGGCCATTACACACAGGAGATCCCATACATCTCCATTTCTTTCCTCCCTATCTCTCTCTCTCACACACACACACACACACACACACACACACACGTATCTGTACATAAATGACATAGAGAATAGAACCAAGGGCCTTCAGATTCATGTCAGGGGTACCTCACCGCTCTCTCATATGGAATCTGCTTGTTAGCTCATTATCAATTTTCAGTATCTCCCTATACTGTGCCCAGACAGGTCCTGGGGCACAGAGATTTCCAAGTTCACACATTAGTGAGCAGCACTCTTGAGATAAGAACTGAGTTTCTACCCTCCATTATTTCCTTACAGAGCTAGTTTATTCCATTCTGCTTGAATGACATCAGATGAGTAAACTTTGATTTCTTTGACAAAGTGTCCTTCTTTTTCTATTACAAACATCTTGAAACAAAACTCTGTATACATCCCAAGTATCTGCACTTTCAGTTTTATTAGCTCCTTCCAAATTGCTCTGCTAGGCACACTTAAGAACAAGTGTATGTGTGATTCATTTTCTTCAAGTTATCCTTAATACTATCTTCAGACATCAGAATCTCTCAATTCACAAGGGATGTGGAAGGAAATTTCATTTTTGATTTACATTTCCCTAAGTTTTAGTGATGCTAACATTTTTTCGTAGTTTACTTTGACTTTCCTATGAGTCACTAGTTGAAGTTCTTTGTGCACTTTGCTTATTAAAATTAGATTGTTTTGCTTTTTAAAAAATGCGTTGCTACAGGTATATTCATAAAAAGAAGCTGTACTTGGTCTAAATATCTTCCCTCCATCTCCAGTTTTTCCTTTAACATTGTGTTTGGTACCTTTGAGATATGAAAAATTTAATTGAACATATGTTCATGTGACAGTCGTTCCCTTAAGAGTTGTGCTCCATCCCTCTCCCCCAACTCCAGTATGGCTGTTTTTCAAGGAAATCATAACATTATAACTTTTTTTTTTTAACTTTCAGATAACTACCAAGTTGCTTTCCAGGCTTGTAATTCTGTTTTATACCAAAATGATGATGGGCATAACAACGCAGATACTAAAAGAAAGAGTCAGACCAAAGTGGACATTACCTGGATTCTTCTCATACGCTACTATATACACCTTCAGAGAATTAATAACATGAGCAAATTGCTAGGTGGGTCTGGCTGTGTTGAAAAAGAACATATCATTTGCCTTTTCCTACTTAGGTCATGTTTCTTATTTAGCTTATAAACATTTTTGACATCTTTCTGAATAGGATAACATTCCAATTGTAAATGGGACTATAGACAATTCATATATCTTATTTCATATATTTAAAAACACTGTGACAGAGGGATATCTGGAGGCTTCCCATGCTCACCAAAGTGGTCCACAGGTCAAAATGGTTAATAACCAGAGATCCCAGGGTGATAGTGTCTAACAGTAGGATGTAATCTGGCTCTAGGGAGAGGGTGCTCTGGGATCTAGTATGCAAAAGGGAGGAAATACATGACTTTGAAATGGGTATTTACTTCCGTATTGTTTTAAATCGCCATGTAAAGAATATCTAGAAAAACTGATGGACTCTACTTCACATTAGCCCTTTCTGTGGCTTTTGTGACCATATATTAGTGCGTTAGTACGCTTTCAAAATGCCCTTGAACTTAGTGATCCAGTGTTGCTCATGAATGGAGTCAGGAAAGACTGCTCCTCCCATGCTGAAGTCCAGTCCTGGAGAAGTCAACTGGGTGACCAGGCTGAGTCACAGAGTGGCTGAGCATGGTCTTCAGGATAGTAATGTGATAAGCAAGCACTCAAGATGCTATTGTAGCTGACAGGTTTATTGTGATATGGTCCAGAGGAGAAGGATGTAGACTTGGGCCAGAACACAGCCCTAGGGATGTCCTGCCCCAAAGCAGCTCAGCTCTCTGACTCTACCTGGTGGCCCTTCCCATAGAAGCACTCACATTGCTACTTTTTTGCTCTGGGATTTATTAGAGTTTGTCCAGCCTGTAAACATTATAACCCAGGGGTTCCCACAGCCAGCAGGGAGACTGTAGATCAGTCAGTGTTCCAGATTTTGACTTCATTGAGACTGCTCTCCAGGGTCGTTCCCCCTCCCCCAGCCCCAGATGATTTTAGCAGGACTAAGTCCTCCTTTCCTACAGGCCACTCTCATTCATTTATTTACCCCTTTTTACAATTCCTTTCTTCCTGCCCTACTTTCCCTATCCTTCTACTTTAAAGTCCTTGAGATCCTTTTCAGATGAACACCAAGCTTCCAAATTCCTGTCTTAGGGTTTGTTTTGAGAGAACCCAAAATAAGACATAATAGATGGTGCAGTTGTTAATATTTACAACAAGAGACAATATACTTATGTGCCACTGAGATTGTCCTTGCTCCCTGTGGCAGTCAGTAATTCATTAGCACGTAAATTCTACAGAGCAAGGTGGTTGGGAGCCCTTAACTGGAGCACCACAGCAGGAACCAATACCAGGACTGAGACCATTCTGTCACTAACATGAGCCTAAATAAAGATCCTTTCCTTCCTTAAGCATCTGCAACACCGGTCTCTGGAATTTCTTTGCCTGATGATACACTCCTCACTTCCGTGAACAACTCTGAACTGATTTCGCGCCAAAAAGAAATGCATTTTTTCCTTAAGAGAGTCTTACAACTGTATTCTTCTTCTTGTATTGATGCATTTCCGAAAGAACTTCTTCAAGGTTTGGAAAATCTACTCACTGTAGAAAGACTCTTATATGAGACATCAGGCAAGGTAAGCTTCTAAAACATTCTATGTGTAGCAGTTTAGAATAATTCTCTTATTTCAGAAGGGAACATGTAAGCCACCAAGTGGCACAAAGATTTCTAGTTTTCCCAGAGCCCCTAGAAGTTTTATTCCTGTTGAATCATGTAGGTAGACCAACCAAACAGCCTGGATTTTCAGTATAATCCTATTGCAAGTCCACTTTCCTGTCTTTCTCACTGATTCAAAATGCTTCAGAATTTTCTATATTCTTACAGAACAGCCATATTGCTAAGATATGAAACAAATTCCAGTATCATCACTTTATAATGAATCTAGCCTAAGACTTTTCTAAATCTACATCACATTTCTGTATCTTTTTTTAAAACATGTAATAAAATTCGTTGTACTTTTTTGAAAATAGTATGAATAGATGGTATGTAAAAGTTTTAAATAAATTTAAAATTGGATGACTTTTTATTTTGGAAAGCTTTATTATGT